AGGTATGTACATTTATTCCTTGATGCATCACTATCACATATTCATCAAACAAAGCACAACATGGAGAGATTCTGATGAGCAGATTAGATTTTATGTCCATAGATGCCTCCCACAGTGTCATGGGCATAACACATGTCAAATGTCCAATCAAAGTACTCACTCAAATAAACATTTATGATTATCACGTAAAAACACAAAGAAAACTACGCAAAATAACTGAGTAAGTTGTTTTCTCTAAGGACTTTCAAATTAAAAAAAAAGCTTATAAGCAAGCAATTGACCTGAAGAAGAGCAAGAGCATTGCAAACTCGAATTGATACATCTGGTGACAGTGTTGGAGGTGAAAGAGCAGGATAAATTGAAATAATCTCCTGCCAATGAGGGGACCATACAGCATAAACAAGTTATCTAATCTTGAGTGATATCCACAAACCAAATTGAATGGTTTACCACAGGCAAATCTATTTTATCAATGAAACATTCATATTATTCAAGTCCATAAGGGGTTGAAGGGCATTTGTAGGCACTTGAAGCAAGAAGTAACTTTACATACATATTTAATCAAACCATCTACCTTCACTCATGCGATGTTGATCTACATAAATATGTAAACCATCACAATGAGTTTGTACCAAATCACTATTGCTATGACAAACACATTTTTTATCTCTTCTAGTAAGTTTCCATAAAGTAGTTTTCTTTAAACAATGAAGCAATTATAAACTCCATTCCTTCTATGGAATTATAGTAGGAAGAGGTCAAGAGGTGAGCAAGCACAATAAATCAGATTTAGATTACATCTCGGATGAACACTTTTATGCAGCATCAAAATTAAACCAACATAGAAGAAATTATGCACTTCAACACACTGACAATCAAAAACATACACACCTGAAGGAGCATTGTGATAGTGCCACAAGAATACCACAACAATGGAGCCAAATCTTGAAAAATGTCCCTTTTCTGCAAGAAAGAGAGAAGCTATATGTATTCATTTGTGAAGATCCGAAACACAAGAGCTTTTCTTGTTACAAGAAGGTTTAAATCAAGTATTTTAAGAAAAGAAAGCATCCATGCTTTCATTTCCATGTGTTTCTGATTCTAAAACAGTTCCTCAAAATCCAATAAAAGAGCAATGAATTGGAATATCTAACCAATGTAATCGAGACCTTTGATTCCCAAACAAGACTATCCAATATTTCTATATAGGAAGTCTTAGCGAACATGATAGCAAGGATCGTCATTTCACCTGTACTAGCATGAAACGGGCAGCACGTACAAGTCCGATCTGCCATATAAAGGGGAAAGTAGGAAACCCTAAATCGCACTTCCTGGCTGCCTCCACTTCTCATGCAGCCGTGATCGATGTTGTGAGCCTATGATTTCTCACTGCGATTTCTCGCCTCTGTGTTCTCACCATGATCGGAGCCTTTGCTTCTCACGCAGGTGCTAGCGGCAACCTCCATTGGCCACGACCTCGCTGCACACCACCACCGCAAAATATTTGCCCTAATCACTTCTCAAGTATGTCTCTTCTCTTCTTCCTCTTCCTCTACCTCCTTCCACTGCTGCTTCCTCTTCTTCCCTCTTTCTTCCTCCTTCCTCCATTGCCCCTTCCTCTTCTCCTTTTTCTTCCTCTGCAAAACACTACACTTATTGGTGTACCATGTATCGATACACTCATACAAACCAGTACATACTGACCTGACAATTCTCCGAGACGAGTCCAATACCCACAATGGCGAACCTTGCAAGATAGTCCTAGTTTTATTGGAACTACCACCTAATTTCAATTTCTATTGGGCTTGAACCATTTGATCTTTCTTAATCTATGACCTTTAATTAGAGTAACTAAAGTATTCTAATTACCTATTTGCTAATCGCTTTAGGAAATCCTTCAAGAATAAAACATCATCATGATTACTAAAACTTTCTCAAGATTTCCTAACCTAAAAAGGAATAAGTGACACAAAAATCTTTCCTAATCAGTGGAAGAAATCAAATTATCATATTTCCAGAAATAATATAGCCTGTCCAAGAAGCCTTTTTAAGTAGAATTTCTTTCCAATTATGAAATGCATTGTTGGTATCTACTTTCTTTTTTGCATTAGTTAATGAATATAGCAGCATAAGTTTAATTCACAGGGGCTATAAACTTAACAAATAGTTGAGAGATTTATTTGGAGAAGATGTCTATCTTCCCCCCTAAATTTCTTTTGTAATCAATTTTTCTAACAATTCTCCTTCCAAATTAGTAAAGAATCATATAGATAAAACTTAAAAGAACAAGTACAATTTTGGCAGGATTTAAGGTTTCATCCATTTATTATTCTTCTTATACTTCTCAAAGGAGGAAACAAAATTAATGGGAGAAACGGAATGCCTGTGCATGAATATATATGTGTGTTTGTGCTTCAAACGGTGCATGTGTGAGTGTCTATCCACATATGAGAGGTTTCAGGTGTGTGCGCGCATGTCCCTGCATGTATGAGTGTATAGAGAGGATTAAAGAGACTATCTCCTCAGAAGAACTCCTGGTTGCCAGAAATGGCAATTGTTGTAGCGTACAGGATAAACAGAAATGGCAATTGTAGCATACTAATAAGATGGATGAGAAAAATCCCACAAGTATTGATTTTGAAACACTAGACACTTGAGCTTAGAATTTACTAACCTCAAGGTCTTGTGATTACCTGGAAATCAAAGACTCAGTATATAACAACCCAATCAACAACCTTGCATACCAAAAACCTTTTCAGTCATAAGATTAATTGAAATTTATAGTCAAACTGATGGGTAATTACAAAAGGCATTTACAGAAATAAGTGTCGCTGATATTGAATGTTAGAGATAGATGGATGATAATATAGTGAACAAAGAAAAGAGTCATTTTTGTGGTTATTCTCAAAAGAAAAAGTAGATGCATTTGTGGTAAGTTGGGACAGCACCATCAATAAAAAAATAATGCAAGATTGCGCTAAGATGTTTCATATGTCAAAATTCAAAAGAAGTAAATACACTGCACAAGAGATACAAGGTTCTAGAAAGAGGATAAAAATCAGAGGAACTTAGTTAAATAAGGACATGGCCCTTCTACAATCTAGAAAGTCACAAGTCATGAAAAAAGATCCAAACGGCTGAAAAGCAACAACCTTAAATGTGGCTGTCAATCCTATCCTGAGCTCATCTCACAAATTTAATTTATTTCCAAAAAAATTGCTTCCAAATTAAACATTAAAAAAGAAAGCTAGCCAAATTATACATGGAAGATCCAAGATTATATGGGTTTTATAAGAACAAAGTGGAAAGCATAAGATCCTAGAGCGATCTGATCTAATAAGCATGCAAAAAAGATGAGTTCCAACACAGGGCAGACTTTTTTAAGATTAGTAGCTAACACAATAACATTCGTCAAGCTTCTGCTAAAAAACATATCTACATACTTGCAAGAAACTGTCCAACCTTAACTGTAGCTTGAGAAAATTTGTTAGTAGGGGCATGTACACATGGGCTTCATTACAAAATTATTTCAAGTGAAGCAACAACGACGGATGTTAACTTAAGGTGAATGATCTCAAGAAACCCTAAGATTATAAATATAGATAAGCTAGTTATCTACCAAAAAAAGGGTTGAAACTTGGCCTCGAAGTGGTTCTGAAGTGGAAAATTTTAAACACTTCCCTCCGTTGAAGTTCTTTCTTTCAAACGTGCCCTTCAGTTTACTTCTGTCATGGGCAGCCTCATCTTCCTAACTTTACCTTTTCCTTTCTAGTAAATAGGAGAGAAATTAAAAAAAGTTTTCGTGCTTCGTTTCATCCCCTGATGCATCATTTTAAGTGAAGACTGTGATGATTCCGACGTCTGTGACTCTTGTCCGAGTTACTCCTCGTCAAAGTATCTTTCATCTTTCCCACTAACCACGAAAAGGAACAGCGTTTACCTATCAAACCCCCCAACAATTCTTCCCTTTAAAATTTTTTGCGAACTGTGAGAACTAAAACAGAACAGTTTTTTCCAGGTATATTTTGACCTACAGTAATCGAAGAAACAGGCGTTCGAGGAAGACGAGACGGAAAACAGGGATAGAGGGGTCGGAGGGAGCGCGACCTTGGACAGATCGAAGAGGGCTTGCTCTCTGAGCTCTGGATCGCAGAGGTCCAACACGAGCTGCTCCACCGACGCCATCTTCCGGCCCGTGACGGGCTGGCCGGCAGCGGCGGGGGCGACCGGAGAGGGGGAATCCGTACCTCCTCCTAAGAAACCGCCGCTTCTGGAGAGAGAGGGGAGAAGGTTCGTCAGCCTTCCCAAGCCGTGACCCGAACAGAAGAGGACACCAGAGGAGAGAGAGGAGGAGAGAAAGGAAGTCGCGACGTGTCCGAAGCCTTGCGGTTTGTCATATATATATGTGTATATATAAATATGTATATTTGTACGTATATATATTGTGTTGTAACTTATAATATTTCCATAAAACTATTTTTTTAATTTTATTTAATCTCTTATTATATTTTTGTAAGTTAACTTGATTAAGATTAAAAGAGATTATGTTTCCCTATTACCTAATAATAATAATAGCAACATTCCGAGAAGAAATTTTAGTAGTTAGAATGCTATATGAGCATTTATTTATTTCGTGTATTATATATATAAATATATATATATATAATTTGTTTTTTCAACAGACACAAAATAAGTGTTAATGAATTATTATAATGTATAATTATTACATCAGTCACAACAATTTCTTAGGGATTCAATGATTGCAAGTTAATATTTAGGGATAACAGCAACATACAACAAAAGTTACATCAGTATTATTGAGGATAAACCAAAAAGTTAGACAGTGACCAGTAGCACTAACACTTATCCAAACCATAGTGCCTATAATGGATCATTCCAATAGAACAAGAGAAAATTTTGGCTTAATGCAAGAAACCCCCACTAATAATTCAGGGATATATTCACCTTTGTAGTGTTAGCTTTAAAATGGGAGACGGAGATAGAAAAGCAAACAAGTCCAAACAGCATCTAACTTTGTGGAAGGTAGTGTTAGAACACAAAGGGAAGTAGGCCTGAGAAGAATGTCCAGACTTTCCATGGATGGTAAACTGGAAACCAAGACATAATATAAGGAGATGCTTGTAGTTTCATCCAGACACAGATGCTTCTTCAGACCTGGACTACGCAGGTTTCTCAAACAAAAGACCAATTTACAAACATGAAAGCAAGACAATGGGGTGAGTCCACATCATTTAAGACCTTCCATGCTACCACTTGTTCATAAGATATCGGCCTCCCCATGCTCGACGAGCAGATGCCGGCAGGAAGATAAGCAAAGCCCTAAAAGTTGCGGAAGGGGTGAAACAAGTCTTAGAGTAATAAAGGTGTACATAGTCTTATAAAGGAACTGATAACAAAGCGATACAAAGATTCCTCTCTTATACCCACCTGTTGCATGATCTTGGGAAACTCTGCATTAAGCACCTTCCTGCTGCTGTCATCAAGAATCTTCTCCAGCGTTATATCCTGCAGAGCTACATGAGTTGTTTCTAGCATGTCGAGACCTGCTTGGTTGGCAAAGTTAAAAATAGAAGGAACCTACAAAAGGATCAATGCATTTTAATCAGGAAACAGAAAAAAAAAAAAAAACATTGACTAAAATGAGCTTCGAGATTAGAACATTTGTAGATTTAAATATTTCAGGAAAAGTGTAACAAGGGGTCTGAAGATACACAGAAGAGTCGACTTGCCTTTAAAGCATAGCACACGATTGCATCTGAATGGTGCCACAGATTCTTCAGCAATGATTCACTCGTATGGGAGTCTGCTTGAAAGAGATCCACCCCAATATGGAATCTGAATTTTTATTTTATCAGGTTGTTAATAGTAATCCTAATCAGATTAATAGGACAGACCATACTTCCCTAGTAAAGTAAAAAGCTATATGATTAGCTAAACTAACTTAAAAGGAAAGGCATGTAATAAACAAAAGAAAAGCATTTTGTAATTAAAACAACACACCTAAAAAACAACAGATGATCCACACCTACAAATTCCTAAAGCTTGAGTGACAGATGGAGTAGATTGCTTGTAAAGTTCAAAGGCAATCGAAGGCATTTATCAACAATTTCTGATTTCATATTTACTATGTAGCTTGCTTGTAAAGGCGTTGAATGAAAAATCATTCCACGAGAAATAGATAACAAGAAGAAACATTCAGACTATAATAATATTGAATATGTGCATTATTTGTTTAACAATTTGATTACAAGACTTATAGACAAAAACAAACATCAATCTGCATACAGTGTACAGAGGAACACAATCAAATACATTATGTCACCAAAAAGTACCTGTAACTTCGAAAAATCCATTGTGCCAGTGTGTGGGCTTCAGGTGAACCAAGTGGCTGTTTGGCCCCAATATGAGAACCCAGTCGTGAAGGTGCAATTGCCATAGCAACTCTCTGAACTGATGTCACCACACTTCGAACATACTGTCGTGCCATTGCAGCCACATTTTCCCGGAGGTGATTCTCATATGTAAACTGGAATGCTACAGTCATAACTGATCTTGAGTTGAATGCACTACAAGTAGTCTTATTTGCAGTGTGTGCTGCAGCTCCAGAACCAACCTCAAGTGTGGATGCCAAATCAAGGGTTCGAGTAGCTTTTGGACCATCCTGCAGCAAAATATGTAACCTAACTTTATGCAGCCAAAGATGAACCATACAGCTTGGCATACTCATTAGGTTCTTCCTGTAGGAATGATCTACAATTAATGACTATGAGCTAATCCTACTCGGTAACTAGCAGCTTCCTGTCCTGGGACTGAACCATAGAAAAAGGTGTGCATGAGTCTCCCGCCAATGCGAGGACCAGGAAGGGTCAAAGTTAGATAATGTAAATGATATCACAAATGGACAACAACCTCAACAGCAAATAAAAGTTTGCATGCTGGATTTGATCAGAACAAATGGTCAAGTAGAGGCTCGTAAATATAGTCTTACAGAATAAATAGTTCAAAAACAACAGAAGTTATGGTAACCATACCGGTCTGGAATCTAACGGTATTATGCGAAAACCTGAGGTTAGAAGAGGGGTATCATCTGCAAAAGATTCATCAATAGGTGCAAAAACAAGCTGTGCACAAGCACCTGCTGCATTTTCGTCAACGCCGCGACAAAGCTGCCATTGAGAAACACAGTAGTAAGTTGAGACATGCCCAAGAAAATTAGTACCTAACAAGTATCAGATAAATTTGAAGTATGTTGCTTTTATTAATTCTTTTTTGTTTTATTTAAATTAAAAAACAGAAGCACCGCCAAAAGACAAGCTATTTGCTTAGTGTTGATGTAAGTAACAAGCACAAAATGGAAGTAATATCGAACAGGCCCTAGCTTCATGTTGTGAAAGACAAACCTGTAGCAAGTGGATGTTTCTAGATAATACATCATCTTGGTTAAACCCATGGTCTACAATCCTCACCACCTCCAAGGTCTACGCTCCAGAACAGCATAAATACTCCATACAATCAGGTTAACAAAACCATAGAAAGGTGAACACATTGTTCTTTGCTGGAAGAAGAAGAATTACCTCTTCATGTTCAGTTGTATGAGCAAGAGGAAGTATAATCTGATTGCCTACAAAGTTACTGCCAGATCTCACACCAGGAACTGCATATGGGCTAGCTCTCAGTGATGAAGCAGAATAAGCATCAACGCCAAAATCAGCCCATTCAGAACGATGTTCCCTCAAAAAGCAAACCAGTAAAGCAGGTGGCACATTCTATATCATGAGAACGACAGGTGTTACTTGCAACTCCAAAACTCAGAAGGCACAAGGAAACAAGTTCGAAAAGAAACAGATGTCATAAATAGGACAGGCCGTACCTGCAGCAACATTGATGCTTTTGCACATAAGATTCCACAACCAATGCCAGAAAACGCTGTTGAAGAATTAAAGTGAGATCTGTGAAATTTGTTCGGTGATGAATTTATGGCAATAGTCACATCCTCAACACCGTCGCTGCCCATCAGTGACCAACCATCATCGGCAAAACCATTTACAGCATCATTGAAGCCTCTGTGATCAGCCACGATATTTAACAACAGAAGCATGAAAGGCATTGCTTTTGTAATAAAAACTGATGCTCAGTCAGCATAGGATAATAACAAAGAATCTGTGACCTGCTCAATCGCCGAATAAAATTCCTCAATACAGCAGGTTGGTGTCGACCAACATAAGCAATTTCACCACTGGCTTCTTGTGAAATTTGCCTTATGTGTCGTAATGCCTATAAAAGATAAGTTCACATTTGAGAATTGTTAAATAAAGTCTATAATGCTTGATGACAAAATAAGACTTACAGCAAGAGTCATTTTCTGTGCTAAAATTTCGGGTGATTCATACAACGGTCTGATAACCTCAGGCACACTCCAAACCTTCAGCATATTAAAGAATTAAGTAATTCCATAAGATCAACCAACAGAACTTAATAAGTATGTAGATCTAAGGCCATGAAACATACATCCAAATCAACATGATCAACAATGTGCATCATTGAACCACCTCCCTCACATGGACGAATAAGATAGCCACTGGGAAGCATCGTGGCTCTAACAAAATCTGAAGCAGCTGGCCCAACAGGACCACCAGTTGATGGAGTCAGCGATCTTTCACAGATCTACAAGGAAAATCTCTAAAACATGACTTGCATGGTCAAATCATTTATAAGATAAAATGTTAAGACAATTGAAGTACGATATCTAACAGACCACGGGTGTGCATATAAACCATAAAAAAAAAAACTTTCATGCCTGCTAAAAACTAAATGCTGCTATTCTGTCAATGACACAGGATTCATACCACAAGACTGCCATCTTCGAGACATGTAGTGTATCTGAGAATCCAAAAGTCACGTGCTGATGCCAAAGTAGTAGGTGCATATGTCTACAAACAGATTACAAACAGTCAATATACAAAAAAAGAAAAGAGAAATTGTGATTCCTACATATTGCTGCTAAGACAACAGGAACAGACCTGCATGTATAATAGTTCAATATTTCCTCCATTTCCAGTAGGAATTACTGTAAGCACATCAAGGCATCGGCAATCATGATACCAAGATAGACGATCTTTTAGAATCTCTGCAACCTAGAAAGAACAGCATGTTGAGAAAAATATAAGAATAAGCAAGAATCTTTAACATCAACTCATTGTGGATGAAGACATATCTAGAACCACAGAGAAAGTACATTGGCTTACCTTTGTGGGTTCTAGATTCACAAGACCACAGGCTCGAGCTGCTACTCCACTACAATTGCGGGAAACAGCAATGATTCCAATGGAATCCGGACCAGGCTACAATGAAAAGCATAAATGAATGAACCGGTTGAATTCAGAATATGTAACTGAGATATGCTTTGAATATCACCTTCATTCCAACCATCTGAACCCATTCAACAGCAGTTCCAGTAGCCTTTGAGAGGAACTCTGCCAAGGTCTCCTCCGCAATTGCAAGCAGTCTACTCCAGTAAACTAAATACATTTAGAGGCAAAACAAGAAAGAGATTACTGCAATAAATGAACAACCCCAACGTTCTGTTACCCAGCTGGGTTGTTAGGATCCTTTTGCGGGCATTGAGGGGTTGGATTTTGTTGGTGGTGGTGCTGACCACTTGTCACTACAGACTCACAACTGGTATCTGTAGTTGCTACAGATGCCTGCACATTTCCAACAAACCAAGTTAAGAGTAATATGGACATTTATGAAATAGATGAGGACTTTTGACAACATAAATAATGTTAAATAGGTTTCTAAACATTAGAACAAGACATTCAATGATAACTTTTTTGTTCCCCACCAGCATCAATGAAAATGAGTAGATAAAAATATAACACTGAACCAACACTTGTAGACACAGCAAATCATAAAAACTATCAAAACATACTATTGTAACTTAAAGCAAATCTTGTTCAAAAACCAAAACAAGTGTAACCTTCAGGCACATCATGGAGTTGACAATTTCAAAACAAAACCAGTATCTACCAGCAAAACAAAGTAAGGTAATGCTATTAAATAAAAATGCAATCAGAAGCTTAGAACAGAAGCAAACCAAAAAAGAAAGAAAAGGTTTCAATAGGTGATTCAAGAAAAGTGCAATCATCATCATAGAGATTCCAAGAAGTCACTCGTACATTGTGAAGCTGCTGGCGCATATAGCCATTTTCACAAACAAGTTGAGACACCTGCTTCTGCAGTCGGTCATTCTCCTCCATCAATAATTTGTTCATGGCAGTCAACTTCCTGTTAACTGCTTGGAGTCGGCATGCCTCTTTCTTTTGTTTCTCACGACATCTATAGAAAATGACATAGAGTAAGCCCAGAACAAGATATATAGCAAAAATGACATGCAATGCATCATTATTGGTATCATTAAGTGGGTTCAGGAAGCAAAAATAAATCAGATGCAAGCTAACAGGGAAGCTGACAAAAACCCTCAGCAAGGTTACATTTCAAACCATTTTCTCATAATATAGTTGGTTCCGGTCTATTATTCATTTCAAGCAATCCCACCAAGTCTAGGCTTTTCATGGAAAGAGGATTACATTTCAGCTCAGTGACTGTGGTGAATATTGATAAACACCGAGAAATACCTAAAAGTCAATAGTAGATCAACCACCCTTATTTTGGAGCGTCGATACCATTGTCCTAAAATAAGTTCCAAGCAATGAAATTGAGAAAACACATGTAAAAGATCCATTATGCAGTAATCAACCTTATCTTCTTGATGATCACCATAGTTTTTTGTTTGCTCGAATGAAAGACAAGACCTAAAAGATCATGACAGAAATAAGATAGAAATGTTATTCAAAACACCAAACACAATCCTAGAAAGAACTGCCAGATGTATTTGGTTTATGTTTACTACTGCAGAAGACCAGGCAAAAGGTCATGAAACCCACAGATCTTCATACAGCATGACTAACAAAAACAGCATATGGAAACATATATTCACCATAACAAGAAAAAAACAATGACAGCGGAAATAAACCATATTCATGACGTCCAAGCTCTGCTACTAAGAAGCCTCAGTAGCATAACTTCCAGGCAAGAATATGAGAGCACACAAATCTAGTAAATTGAACAGAGCACAAAAGTGAGTCTGCAGCCAAATAAACTGAGAGCTAGAACAGCTCGAATAACAAAATAAGGAGGAAATAAATTTGAAACCAATCTAGATATCCAGAAGATCCCAACTTTCTAACCTGTTCCCCCTTGATTTAATATTTCCATAAGAGTCAAAGAAGAAAGGAAGCAGAAACATGTATTTCAAAGTAAAATCTAGCACCACACAAAATTTGTCCAACCACAACTCAGAATTCAAAAGGAGAGGGAAAAATCACCTCCCAAACCAAACGGCACCAAATCCAATCAGAATTTGAGAAGAACAAATAAAATCATTTTCCCCCACCAAATTCTATTTTTATTCCTTTGTTTTTTTTTAAATTTTGCTAGCAAGGCTTTCCGATTAGTTACCTGCGATTCTGGAACCAAACCTTGATCTGCTTCGGGTCGATGTTGGACAGAATAGGGCACTCCCTGATCAGCTGTTGCCGCTTCAGCGAGCTGGGCTTCGGGCACTCATTATACACCCTCTCGAGCGCCTCCACCTGCTCGGGCGTGTACCGCACGTACTTCCCCGCGTCCATAGCCAGCTTCTGCCCCTTCCCCGCCTCCTTCCCTGACACAATCATCGCCGTCTCCCCACCCCAAAAGAAAAAGGAAAGAACCTTAGACAGAGTATCCCAATCTAACCCTCCTCGAGAGAACGCAAACCCTAGCACCCGTCGCGCTCCCTCTTCTTCCGGCTCGACAGTGGTAAGGGGAAGCACCCCCGTCCCCTCGCATCACAAGCCTCAAGCCCTCGCGACCCCCCGCCGATAGCAACACGTCGTAGAAGGATCGGCGTAACCCTAAGCAACGCTTCTGCCCCTTCTACTCCCTCTCGAAGCGGCCATTAGTAAGAGGACACACATTGTGGTCTCTTTCTCTTCATTAAGCCGTCACTGTCACCTCTCTCTGTCTCTCTCTCTCTCTCTCAGCTATTTTCTTTTTCATTTAAACCCCTAAATAAATTGATAATTGTCATTCGTAGATAAAGTATAATTTCATATAAGACCCTAAAGTATTAATTTTTACATATAGGTCCTTATCACAATATTAGCCTAATCTTTTATGTACATTCTTAATATCTATGAAATCACTCTCTTCTTCTTTAATTGGATAGAGGCATAGCTTTATTTAAATTAAGTTTCACAGTTTTTATCTAAAGGTGTTTGTTTTAGTAGAAACTTTTATATAAATTTTGTGTCAAGGAGATGTATGCAACTTTGGTTTTTCTTAATAATAACATGGTGGGATTTTTTATTATTATTTATTTTCTTGAATGATTCTAATACTAAAAAAGTTGATTTGGAATTACAATCCACATCAGAAAAATATTTTTAAAAGAAAATCATAATGTGTGGTGGATTAATATTGCTTTAGTTTTTTGTTCAAGACAATGTTTTTCCAATTGAATTGATAAAATTTCAATGTTTATTATTTTTAAGTAATATTTTCTTAAATCTTGCTTTGTCTTTAATTTTATTATTGTTGGATCCCAAAACAAATAAATCAGCAAATGGATCCTAGGAAATGCTTTTATTTTTATTTTTATTTTTAGGAAATCAATGGATGTGAGAAAATGTTTTTCCAAAAGATGAATATGTTCATATAGACAGCAGTACTAGATACAGTACTAAATTCCATGCCATTTTATGTTCAAGGATTAATCATGTTTATCCATGGGAGGATCTAATGATGAACCAGCAGTGAGTTCTGACACTGTCACTGCATTGAACTTTGTACTACACATGTAAACAACATGTTAAATCTTTTGTCTCAACTCCAAGAAGCAGAAGATGAAAACAACATCAACTCCACTAATAATAAGTGGAGTTGTTTCTAAGGTCAGTTCTGTTCTTCATAGTTCTTTCTGTCTAAAAGCTCTTAGTTCTACTTAATCTACAAACTAACACATGAACAGTAAGTGATCCTATAAAGAGTATCTTTTTATTTTGAGAAAGAAACTCCAAACAGTATATTCAAAAGTAATATTCCAACAGAAGAATTCAATGTCATGAAACCTTATAACCTCAGCTTCAGTTCTGTAAAGTTCACATAAGATGTCTCAGCTACCTTCATAGATCAGTAAAAGTCCAATGAAGTTAGAGACTTATGAATCCTCACAGTCCAGCTTTTGCTTCCAACAACAAAGTCCAGTAAAAGAGGACCAGTGAATTATGGAACCTATATTGCCTTGGACTCCCAACAGTAAGGTTCGCAATACTGTATCATATCGGTATTTCGATTTAGGCTCAATACCGATATGGTACGATATACCGAACGGTACACTCAGGTGTATCGAGTACTGTAGCATTGCTACAGTACTACAGTGTACTCGGATTGATAATAGACGGTCCACGTACTGACAACCTGTCAGACCGATACGTACCGCCCATATCGGGCGGTACAGTTCGGTACAAGTCTTTGTCAATAAACCTTATAATTACTTAGATAAGATGTTTTGGTAGTAGCTATAAGATTCGGTAAAGGAAGATAGAGTGAAATGATAAGATTAAGTAAAGAAGACAAGCTATAAAATCTCAGAAGCTATAACCCTACCATCCTAATGAAAGGTTAATCTGATAGGATAATAAAACAGTGGACCAGTGGATTACAGTATCAAAACTGAACTTGATTGGACTCTAAACCCTAGGATACTTAAAGTCACTTTAGTGGCATGAGGCAGACCAAACCCAACACCATCACCTTCCAATACTTAAAAGAGTCTTGGCCACCCCACTCCTTGACTTAGAACACCAAACCCTAGGTAGTCTTAAAAGTCACTTTAGTGGCATGAGGTAAACCAACACACAACCATCACTTTCCAATATTCTTCCTGCAGCAGTGACAGTAGCTGGTGGTGTTGGCAACACCTTTCCCTTCATTCTCATGCTTGTCATTGGCTTTATTCAGAGGAAAAAGAGAATATGTCTGAGAAGGCTGTTGGGCAGCAAAAGCACTGGATTTCAACTTGCTCTTAGGTTGACAGGTCAAGAAAAGACTGAAGACAAACCCTAATTCGGACATGGGCTCTCCCCAGTCTTGCTACTGCCTACTGTTACAACCACAACGAGGATGACAACAACGATGGGCAGAAGAATAAATCATGCCTTGCTGTCTCCATTGTGGTTTCGGGAGTACTTCATGGAGTTGGGCATGCATTACTGAACAAGGCATGAACTTTGCAGATTAACTGATGCATGCAGGTCATGGGGAATTAAGGACCACAGAAGTGAAGCAGTCAGTGCGCGTGTTCTTCGATCCGTGTGCTGTCTCTGCATGCCTGCAAGACCTCAGAGCTCTTGGTTCCATGGCCAGCTTTACCTACGTAGCTCGAGGACTACACGAACGTGTACTGGCACGAAGGTTATACTGGTTTGCCGGTGATGAATCGATCGAGTTTGCATGACGAAGCCATGATCAACAATGCTTGATAACGAACAACGCTGTTTGATTTGCCGGTTATGGATGCATCGAGTCTGTGTGGAGTCGTGATTTGGAATGCACGGAAGAGTATACCGTAATGAGCGAGTTGCAGTGGTTTGCTGGTGATGAATGAAGTCATCCATCAAGCATAAAGATCTGCAGGACATTGAAAGACCATACAGATCTCGGGAACGGTGCAAGAGAGTGGAATAAAAGGGCAAGGAGGGTATGGTGATAGAGACATTGTCATGGGTGTCCTCACCTAGTTTTTGCTTTAGAAATAGTTTTATGGAGTTGATCAGATTTGTTCCCTCGCATCTCTTCTTGCATGCTTTTGAGAAACCATGGTATTCTCACACCACACTCCACAATGATCAAACTGAGGTCCATCATAAGATGAAACAAGCAGAAAAGCTAGCTAAATCTTCAGTTGATCATGCAATGGCCACATCATAGTTCTTGCATCACTTTCACTTTGGGTATGTATGGGTCTTCAGAAAGCAACATGAGGAGACAACATATAACCCCAATGCCTTTTGCAAACTCATTCATCAGCTAGAAACATTTTCTTCATCCACAGCACATTGGATATCTACCGTCGTTGTTGTCGATATTGAGCTCAAGTTGGATATCACAGACCCAGTCCAACATAAGCAAAAGATGTTCTGTGACATAGTGAAATGTTGATATGAAGATACCACATACTTTTGGGCAATAACTATAGTTGTTGAATACTTTTGAGCACTCCCAAATCAACTACACATCTCAACACAGCCAGAGAAAAAAAGAACATGTTGAGACTAACAGATCTTCCACTATAAATCAAGTCGCAAAATGTCACTTTATCATGTTCCACAATAAAGTGTGCCAGTCACCAGTTGAAGATTGTGTATTTCTTTCCTTGGGTAAAAGAATTAAGTTATACAAAAAACGGCTGAAAACAAAACTACATGGGCTAGCCGGCATTAGGTCATCTGTATTTGTTACCACATGATACGCATGACGGCTAAGGTGCAGCAAAATGTTAAATACAAAATATATGTGCGCAAAGAAGAATTATACTAAAGCCTCTCTGATGCACCTTGTGATACAATAAATTGCTGAGCTTAATAGTCAAAACTGAGGAATCCTTTCATGCTTGCATAAATAATTGGTGAAGCCATGCATTTAAAGGATTGTTGTCCGATCCTCCTTTAACCTGATGGGGTGTATCGCAACTCCATTTCGCGCATTTCGAACATGCCCCCATCTTCCCAAGCGAGGTTCCTGATAGAAGATGTCACATGAATATATGCATGAACTTGAGGACAACAAAGAAGAGAACAAACGTTTTCTACATCCTAATTGGAGTAGGAGAGACTCTCCAGCTAGTTAGCAGTTCAAAAAAATGAAAATTTTCTACTGCAGTTCAGGGGCATCTGTCGTTGCAGTTCAAAATGTTCAGATACAGAAGTAACATAGGGCCTCATACAAGCATGGTTTGAATTTAAGTTGCCTCAGTGTCATTTTTTTTAAAGACATATATAGCATCTCATTTCCAAGCAATAGTCTCAAGGATGAAATTTTCCATAATAATAACCCATTATGGGTTTGGTTTCTGATCTCAAGATCAATACGGAGATTATAATATCAAAGGAACATAAGATGCTAGACTAAGTTATGTTCTCCATGGTACCACTGGAATGATGCTGGACTTAGTTTATTTTTACAGTTCAGAAAAGGCTATGGTTCAAAAATGAATTACAGTTCAATCAAAATTATTTTTAGTCAAAGAATAATGCAAGATGAAACATGCTGGATATATTACCAGGGCACCAACAAGCTTTTGGACTAAATCAATCCAAAGAACAAATAAAAAAGGTAATTCAACTGAGTCTTTCTTTTATTTAATAGGGAAAAAAGAATTAGATAGCATTACCTGGCCAACCCCAGCAACAAGAAAGCGTGCAGATTTTGCAAATGCAAGTGAATTGATGAATCCAGCCTGCAAATCATCAGATATGCAGTAAGCGGGCATGATTATTATAACCTATTTTTTGCCAGAATCAATGTAAAATGTCAAAAGCTAAAATTATTTAAAAGTAACAATATATTCCTGTATCAAGAGATGTACAAGCAGATAGAGAGCATCAGACAGAATCACTGTCTAAAGATGATAAATGATATGCTCCCAAGTTTCCTTGTCACAAATACCAAACAGAAGATTCTACTCACATGGCTTAATATCTTTATCAACTGTTTTCTGGGCTTCCACACATGTTTCAATTTGGAATTATACATATACAAGATGTTCTTTCTTTGAATTTAAATTTTCTGATAAAGAATAGGTAATTATTTGTTTGCATAATATATGATTCCCCATCATCAGCAATAAAGCTATGATACCATGCCATGCAATTGTGTGGACAAGGGATATTTCTAATAAGACTTCAGATTAAATGCATAGTGCTTGCTCGAATCTAGAAAAGAGAAACAAAGCCTAATGTTATACTATAGATCCATTTACTAACAAATTAGGCAGGAGAGTGTCACGAATTACCTTATCCTAGAGGCTCATACTAAACCAATAGTTGTACATGACTAAAGAAATGCAAGCAACAAGTAGTCAGTTTTGATGTTTATGCACACTAACGTATACTAATTTGCTTTTGCAAGTTTCAGCACACAAGTCTAATATCTACACTTTCAAATGGTCATGTCAAGAACAAAGCAAGAACTTAAAGTTGAGAATTGTCTGAATCATGCATAAAAAAAAATTAAATATATAAGCCACACAGTGTGTAATTTGACCCATTTAGACAACCATATCATCTAATTCATTCATTACCATAGCACAATCATTAACATAATAGCTATCAAGAAAAAAACCAGTTAATTATGAGAGCATTTATAGATAGATACAATCCAGCATAACAACTCAGAGCACAGAAATAAGATCAGGAAGTGAATAATCTCTTGGGCCACCCATGTAGCACCGTGCAGAAACTATCAAGCCACTGGACTTGCTCCACTCTATTCATTACAATGTCCAAACAGCAGATATGTGGGGCGTGAAAATCATACTCACTTTTTTCTCACCAACAACCAAACACAATAATCCATTTGTTCTGTTTTATTTCTAAATCAACCTTCCTTTTCTGTAGAAAAATAGGAAACCTTGTGTAAGTTCTCCATATACTACTCATGTTCTTTTGGAGATTTTACTTCATATCTAAAACTAAGTGGCAGTGTGGCACCACCAACTGTCCAGATTCACCAGCATACTAAGTTCAAGCATATCTTTGTCTAAATGAATCAAAGTCATTACATGACATATCAAAGTAAATAAACAAAAGCAGCTAGAAACTATAATGAAAGCATTAAAAATTTGAACCATACCAGAGAATAACTAAATAATGGTTGGATGCCTTTGTTATCACTTTCAACAGCCCATAGACAAACTACACCATTAGCAGCTCCAGATGCAGCAAGATCACTACCTCTACATACAGCAACAGAACTAACCCACAAGTGCGCTGAAGAACAGTTTCCATCTCCGTGTCGATCATTTACTAACGAAGGCCACAGTTAGATGAAGCCATTAGATAATTAAAAATAATAATATGCAATACAATCAACCTATGTGTGTGTTTGTGTGTGTGTGTATATATAAAACACGGAATTAACATGGTTTTCTACTTTCCAGCATCAAAATATGAGGACTATTAAATGATATATATGCATAAAATAAAACAAATACTATCTAATCTTCGCTCAAGAGTTTAATTCTCCTAAACTAACATGTGATAGAAAAGGATTCCATCTTACCCATATTGCCACCGTTAGACATAATTGTCTCATCCTCTTTATATGAAAAATCATTCGAAGATAAAGATGGAGCATGTGCATTTTTAATCAAGTGCGTAGGCTTTTTGCGCGTTACACTCCAAAGCTCAATGCTTCCATCATCCGAGCCAGATAAAAACTCATTGTCATTGATAAAGCAGCAGCATTCCAAGGATGCTGCAGGAGCACGGAAGACCAACTGTGATTCCTCAGGTACCTAGCACACAAAGCAAAAAAAAAATGTTATCACTTGCATGGTTTAGACTTAAAAGTACCACACCAAGTAAATTTGAAACCATTGCAAGAGTATCCATAACATAGATTGTTAAAATTAAGGCCTTTCTATTGAAGGTCCTAAAGCAAAGGTCACACCAACTTCAATTTACAGTTCTTCATATCTAAAAAGGAATGTTGTGGCTGCAGTATAAATAAAATTATTTGTAATGTCGAATTTCTAAATGCCAATGATGTTCATACAAGTGTCCAAAAGCTTCAGCGACACAGCCCCATATGTGTCCTGCAGGCACAGTGAAAAATATGATGCCTAATGCTACTCTTGGTGATCCATTATAGGGTCCTAGATCCCACAAACACAAAATACAAGCATTTTCAAAGATAATCTTTTTTTTTTTAAAGAATATCTCTGAATACTAATAAACAAGTTCTGAAGACATATACACATACAAGCAGATATAGTATACTACCATCATCATGGACCCCAAATGATCCAAGATGACAAATGACATAATAAATTGACTGGATGATTTAAGCTCTTAGATGTCTTATCACTTATGTACAAGAAGGCCATACTTTTTACAATTTCTGGACAACCCACATGAAAAAAGAAAAGAAATTGACTCCCGCTATTAACGAAATCAGTAGCTTCAAGGGATGAGCTATTTAAGATTAACCCACTAAGGTATACTGGTGCAGGAAGAAAAAAATTGACCAGGAAGAAAACAGTAGATTCCATGTGCAATATCTAGTCTTAGGATTTTGGTACTCTAATGAGTGCCCTTGTGGGTTTTAAGAAGAAAAAAAATCAAACTTCTGAGGCACAACAAAATTTTTGAGCTGTCTGAATCCAGCAGAGCCAAATCACAATTGGTTGATTCCAATCTTAATTCTTTACTTTCCAAGAATTCTGTTGACCATAACCGACAACAGGAAGTCACGTGTTGTGGCACATCCTAGCCAGATCCGAGGACTGCAAATTCCGGCTTGTTCCTAGTAAAATCAATCAGATGATAATGTTTAAACCAATTCCACCGGAATTCATTTTTCCAACCAAGTTACAAACAGTACTAGCAAGTCCCGAGCAAGACTAGTTTGACCAAATACAACAAATCAATTCTTTCAGCTAATCTATCATATAATGATTATAGATCCTATAATCTGGACCAAGTTTACCTCAATCATGCGAAATTGTGAACTTTGTAACAAGGACCCACATTTTTGTACCAAGTATAATAAAACCCCTGTAATTGTCTTTCAAATCTCTAATTTAAAGGCAAAAGACCATGGCCATACATATTCAGATTGTGGTAAATCATAATATCTAATCATCAAATTACCATATCTTGATCTCTCCATTCTTGTACACAAACAGACCAAAAATCTACTAAGGACTCGTACATAATCAAACAAGAAAAAAACCAGGATTCACCATTTCGGGTATCGGACCCATCTCGGAGATTTGTTGGTATGGTACACATCAGTCTATACCAATGTACTAACACACGATACATCGAGGCGTGCCGATAGGAACTCGAGCGAGCCGTGTCTCTGTGGCAAGTCGGACTGGTACATACCTCTCGTACCATACCAACTCGGGCAGTACAGAAATCCTCAGGAAAAATTATAAAATGGAGACTACTATTCTACCATTAATATCTTTGGCATAGTTATTACAATTTACAAGTCAAATTTTTTGTTGGCTTGCTTGAAAACTTGAACATCTAATAATGATTTGCACAGAATGCAAGCAAATTATAAATAAAAATAGAGGACCACAACTAATGATTTGCATTATCTAGCTGATGCAGAGAAGCTCAAAACACCCCAAATCATTAAGCTACTGATGAATGATAATAATCATATGACATGAGAGTTAAAAAATTTAGGAAAACACAAGATCCTTGAGAACAATAAATTCTATCACCCATTTATTCTCAACTTATTGGATGTATTGAGCAGCACAGTAACTCAATTGCACATCAATTCTTAACTGTTTAACCTGGCAGTCCCATTATTAAAGAAGTCTCTATATAACTTAACACAGTTTGGCCATCAAACAACAAACTAACTTCATTTCATCTCCCCATAGGAAAAGATGATGCCCCTCTTAGATGATCCTTTTGCAAGAAGAGCTTCAAACATAATCCACTGGAACAACATTTGACATAGTTTATACTTGCAACCACAAACCAGATGTCCAAATTAATTTTAGCATGTGCCTCTAGTGTGTCTTCTTCTTTTCGAAACTGAAATGATCAGAATTCACAAAATAATTACATAAGCATGCAAAACATAGAGTGTGCATGGATGAGATATTTCAACTATAATTGGAGAAAACCACGTTAATATGCTCATCATCATAGTCGAGAAACACCAATGTTCACCTTCCACAATCGCATGGTCCTGTCACGCCCTACAGTCAGAAGTCGTTCTCTCCGTAGGCAGTCAATAGTCAATATTTCACTTTGATGACCAAATAAATTGTCCATATGAGTTCTGTCTTCAGCATTCCATAGCTTAATGGTTCTATCAAAAGACCCAGAGAAAAGCTGTGCAGTCCCCTGTCTAAAAGTAAGGCATGAGATGGGTCCTCGGTGACCATGAAATGCCTGAAAGGAAAAATGAAGCTGCAAAATCAGTCTAAAAAGCATTGTGCAATTTGTCTCGTGATTATGCTGCCATGATTTGCATATGGATCTATGAAGAGGGAGCTCATGCAAGCTGCTCAAATTTTTAAAAAAAATCTAGGCTATAAAGCACCATGAGATGTTTTTGGTTAGAATTATGGTGGTAAACAATGTGCAAAAGGAACTTGCAATGATGCCTCTCTTTACCAGTAAAAATAAAAAATCATAAAAATGATATACAATGTGCAAAAGGAACTTCCATTAACACCTCACTTTGTCAGTAAAAATAAAATATTATAAAAAGTAGAACTTGTCCAACATTAGTAGGACATATACTTGATTGCAACATCTCATTAATAAAATAGCACAAAGTTACACTGGTCACTGAGCTACCTGGAGATGCTGCCGAGTACGAGTGTCCCATAAATGGACATGGCGGTCCAACCCACCACTGGCCAAATATCGCCCATCAGAACTGACAGCCAAAGCCAACACATTCTTGCTTCTCTTCCTAGCTGGATTCTGCAGGGACTTTGCATAATGTGACACCAATACATCCTCACTAGGCCACAAGTACTTCTCAGACTTCCCACTCTCAATGTCCCAGTGCAGAATGACCCCATCTTTGGAAGCTGAAAACCCCCTTGAGTCATCCTCCGCCAAAGCTACAGCTGTAACAGACTGCCTGTGCTTCACTAACAGTCGGAACTCATCAGCAGGTTCTGGACTTAAAACCCTGCACCATATCATAAACGGACCTTAAAAGTCCAATCTCATCGAAATTAACAAAAGGTCTAAGTTGACATATGTATTTCAACTAAATAAGCAAATTTTAAGACTCTGATAGTAGAGTACTATTAATTGAAGTAATTCCTTCGTATTAGCATGTAAGTCGGTTCACAAGTGCCTTGAATCACATTTCTCTGGTAAGTCATTTGTGAGTGGCACATGGAGGAGAAGGTAGCAATCACCAGTGACAGATCCAAAATACAAAGTATTACTGTATCAAATTGTAAGAAGGGATAAAAGGTAAGCAAATGCAGATTAATAAAAGAAACATCCAGTAAAAAGCTCAACTCCACCAATGACCCGAGTAAACTCTTTAAGAAGATTGAAGTGTGCATAATGATAAGCCGATTAGGGGAAGAATCATCGAAGCAAGCAAAAAAGAAGTTATTTTGCAGATTAAAATTTAAAGCAGAAGCATCCACGGTGCACAGTTTATATGGTGGGAAACATTTCCAATTACCTCGACGCGATATATCGCCGGACACGACCACTCTCCTCGAGCTGCTCCTTTTGAAGAATCTCCGCCACTAAAGAATCCCTTTTACCCTCCCTCTCATCTCGCCCCTCCTCCTCGTCCTCTTCCTCTTCTTCCTCTACCCTCTTCGCTATAGCCCGGATCCTCTCCAAATGCTCCTTCGCAACCCTAACCCTCTTCTCGTCCACCGTCTCCTCGGGGACGCCCTCCCCCTCTTCCTCCTCCTCTTGTCCAGCATCTAGGTCGGCCAAGTCGTCGTCGCTCTCCATGCTCTCTAAATCATCATCCTTGCTGATCCTTCGTCCCCGCTGCTTGGTATCGGATTCAAAGAAGGAGTCGCCACCGCCACCGCCGGATACTCTGGGCTTCTTCTTGCCGACCATCGGCCGGATGGCCCTCTTGCGGCTTCGCGGCTTCATCGCCAGGGGATCGAATATCGTATGGCGCCGGGATTACTGGAAATAGGGCTTAGGGTTCTGTAGGAGGGGATTGAGCGCGGAGAGACGGCGGAGAGCGGCGACGAAGGGAGGAGCGAGGGTTTTACGAAGGGAGGGCTTTGGCACGGGTCGGTAAGAGACGGGTCCGAAGAACAAATCCGATCCATTATTTTGCGGGAATTGCGGAGCGGATGATAATGGATCCGACCCGAAATGACACGGTAAAACGACGACGATTAGGTAGACTTTCTTCTGTTATGGGTTAACATTTGAAATGAGTGTTGCAGAATTTTGTAACGGGTTTCGGATTCAGAATCCACAACCCATGGATATCGCTGGATTAAGATCAGACGGTGGAAAAGCTTCATGGATCTCAGTGAGGCTCCGCTGTCTGAGCTCGGGCCAAGACAGGCAAATCCTCTTAAACTTTCTTACGTGGCTTCCACTGCGGGCGAGTCTTTCTGAACCGCGTTCCGAATGAGACAGCTGAACCGGACTCCACGGCCTCGGGTTACAGAACCGCGGTTCTTGTCCTTCTCGGTTGGTTTGGAGTGCGAAAGCTTGTTCTTTGGGCGGCGATCTCCGGACTTGCCGGTACGACTTCCTTGCCCTCTCCATATCTCTCTCGCAGTTGCAAACCCAGGAAAAGATTTAAGTGATGTGCAGTGGAGAGTCGAGCAGCAGCTCGACGATTGTGGCTCTGCCCGTTCACTTCACATTTTGCACATAACCTGTTCGACGCAATGTCTTTTTTTTTCGGTCAAAAAATAGCTCTGTGGTTATCAGGATTTGTAAGAATAAGAGTTTGTTCTGGCTATGGATTTCTCTTTTACCCTCCTTTTGCACAATTCTCTGACGAAGTGTGATCATTCTATTGTGGTACTGCCAAGAATCGTGTGACTTTTTGGTCTTGAAGTGTGGTCCTTTATAGTTTATGGTCGGGGTGCATGGCTTAGTAATTATCTGACTTTATACCCTTTGACCTTTATGGCTGTGTATCATCGTTGCTGTGTTTAACTTTTCCTTTCTCATCTACCTTAAGCTATTGTATTGTTTGAAGTCACGTATATTTTATTATTGTCTTACATGATAATTAAATGTTCATATTACCTCCAACATTATTTTAACGTAGTTTCCTAGATCATGAATCCTCTCGCATCTAAGAAAATTGTTCTTTGTTTCTTTATTATTCTCGTAGGTGTACACATTTATTTATGGATTCTAACAAAGATATTAATATGATCCTTTTATCCCCAAAGAAGCCTTTCAATTTTGAATACAAGCCCTAGATTTTTCAGATGAAAATATTTTTAACAAGAACTCTCTTAGTGGTCATTTTAAGTGCATTTTTGGAGTAGAGGAAAAAATTTGAAAGGATATGTTCCACTTAAGACATGGAAGCTCCACTTTAATCTTCTTTAACATGTAAAATCATAGAGAAATTATATTAATGTACTACAACATAAAATATTACAACTCAAAAAATGTGGTACTCTAGATCTATTCATTGAGGCTTTTTCATCAAGTTGTAATTTTTTCTACACTTTCTCCTTGACAGGGAAGAACAGAATATCTCATATCTGGTTACATCATTTAACAGACGAAAATGAGTGCAATTCTTACGTCAAAATGCTCTACAGGTGTGTTTTATGAAGTTTTATGTAAACTAAATTTTGGTTCAAGCTAATCATTATTATCATGAATTCCAACAATATTGATATTTTATGTTTCTGTAACATCATTCTTTTTTCATTGATGACTGCAGAAGACAAAATTAATGTTTCTTCTAAGGATGATGTTATGGATTAAGTATTTGATGGACATGAAAATGAAGTATAATTCCATTGTCATATTATGGATTAAATATTTGATGTACATGACAATTTAGCTGTCCTGTACTAGAAAAATGGATAGTACAGATATTCCAGGAATCTTGCATATGTTATCATATGCTAGACTTTTTCATGTTCACTGGTTGATCTTCTTGGATTATGTACATACCATAAGTAATAAGTTTGAATTTTATCTGATTATACCTGCTCATTCTGATATAATGTTGCTGCCATGTGTATCATAATTTTCGCAGTTGGCCGTTCATTGATGTGAAGCTTTGGCAACCATTTCTTAGGAGACAAAGAACCAAATGCAATAGTTTCGCAGTTGAATTACAAGAATTTTTGGCACAGGTGCTGTATAACTCCCGCAGAAGATAATTGTGATTTGACTTTCTGGAATTTGAATTGTGCATTTATTTAAATAGTCTCAGTTATACTCTTCCATTTCTGGTTGTATTGATGTGCATATATTTCTGCCTATTATTGTTTACTCGAGAGAACATATGTATTGAAGATCTAAAAATTGGCAACTCACAGTACAACCATCAAAGCTGTACCAAATATTATCTTTCTTCTTTTCTAAATGCCAGCTTGTACGAGGAAGATTTGTGATTGACCAGTGGATGTTTTCTGATAATTTGAGGTTTCTTGTAAACTGAGTTTTCTTTCTTTTCCATCAAACTGAAATGGTTTTATTGATCTGGTATCACACAGTAATAACTATATTGGTTCCCGGTTCCCTTGAATTTGAGTGCCATCAGTCTTTTGGACATTCCCGGGAGACATCTGCCCCATCGTTAAGGTACTTTTAGTCCTAGCTCTTCCTAGTTTTAACCTATCACCAAGAAATGAAGCAATGTATAACGCCTCAAATATAATTGCAGAGTCGATGAAATTTTCTGTGTCATTGCAGCAACAAAGAACATTCTTACAGATGAGGATCAACCTCAAGGTGGTGGACAACTCTGGTGCAAAACAGGTCATGTGTATGCAAGCTTTGATAGGAAGGAGAGGGGCAAGATTGGGTGATTGTATCAGTGAAGGAAGCACAGCCTCGTGGTAAAGTGAAGAAGGGGGATGCAGTGTATGGCATTGTGGTGTGTGCTGCCATGTAGAGGGGGCAATGTGGTGGCAGTGAGATCAAGTTTGATGATAATGCAGTGATCCTTGTTAACAAACAGGGAGAGCCAGTCGGTACCTGTGTCTTTGGGCCAGTGCCACATGAATTCGGGAAGAAAAAACACGTCAAGATTTTAAATTTAGCTGAACATATAGCCTGAGGCATCTATGGGGTGCTCTAGCGTCTTGTCAGGTTCCGACTTATATTTTGAGATTGTTTTCTATTGTTTGAAGTCAGATTTCTTATGTTTTGAGCATTGTCACAGTCCATAAATAAGTGTTTTTTGATTGAGAAACAATGTATTAATGTGCTTGATGAATTTTTTTTAATCTCTCGACTCATATGCCAATAATTTGGGTTATTCTAGGAGAGACTTCTTGTGTGAATAATTTGCATACAAAGATCAAAATATAACTTATGGAAGCTTCTTTTGTGCAGCTACAGGAGTTCAACCATCAGACAGTCTAAATATGCATCGTTTTGGGTGTTTGTGATGATTCATCTCAGCCTATTGACGGCATTCGACATGTTTAATTGGAGGAATTATGATGCACCTGTCTATATATATCTAGCAACAGAGAAGCTGCAGAAACATAAAGGTAAAGACTGCTTAAGAAACTGATTCTCTGCAGAACACTCTTGAAGAATCTATCGTGCAATCTTTCATTTTGGAAGTGTGTGTGATCAATAATATCGCTTTCAAGTGCTTCCGACATATCAAAGGCAAGGCAGGTGCATGTGATTTGATCAGCATCTTCACACCCGAAGCATGAAGAGACTTGCACGTCCCAGTTCTAATTGCTGGCTAAACAATGCCAGTCCAGTTCTGTGCCCCATTTATTGAAGGAAACAATGACTCTTCGATGAGTTTTTGGATGACCAAGACTGTCCTAGGTATGTTATCTCATCTCATCTCATTCAAATGTTCTATCGATCGGCTACCCGATTAATAGACTACCAATCTCTTACTACAGAACTCGGGATTCCTCTGCTACATGCAAAGAAGTCGTCATCTCATGGACCAAAACAAACACTCGAGACTGACCATTATATGTTAGTTATTGCAAGAACTTCGTCATCTGCATTATGCTTCAAGCGTTCCACAGCCTTGTCTACCTGCAAAATCCCAGCAACAAATTAACACCCCACAAGGAAGAGGAAGAAGATGAAACCTCTCTGCACCAGACTTGCCTCCTTGTTCCAGTTTGTCCTGGCTGTCAAGACTACGAGTGCCAGTGTCTGCACAAAGACTCCAATTATCAGCCCCCACCATATTCCCTGAAGCAGAGATAGAGATCAAGTGTTAGCCCGTCTGTGCCTCGACAAATCCATGGACCCCTGCACCCAAAGAACCCAGCACTCACAGCTGCTCCTAAGCTTGTTTTGAACCCGAGAACGCATCCGATGGGGAGGCCGATGAAGTAGTAAGCCCCGACGTTCACGTATGCAACGATGCCTTGCCACCCACTCCCGATAGCAACTCCTGTGAGAGATTGTTCGCGCAGCATTCATCAGTGTGATCTTACGGTGTGTTTGACAAGACGGATGAGGGGAACAGCACCGTGTGTCATACCTGAGAGGATCGGTTGAACACCATTCAAGAAAATAGAGATTGCAAGCAATGGGGTCAACTGAACCACCATTTGGATCACATCGGTGCTGCTGGTGTAGAGCTTGCTCAAGGGAGTGCGGAGCAGGAGGACCAGCACACTGATCACCACGCTGATGCCGAGGCTCGTCGCGACGACGACGATGACGGCGAGCCTCGCCACCCTCGGGTGGGCAGCGCCCAGCTCGTTGCCAACTCGAACGCTGCGAGATCGATCAAGACCGAGAAAGAGTTCAAACTAGCGAGAAGACCGGAGTCTCCGAAAGAAGTCAAAGAGTGTCGTCGATCTCACACCAACCTGGCTGCGTTGCTCAATCCCAGCATGATCATGAAGTCCCAGTTCCAGTAGTTGACACTGCAGCATTTGCCAGTTTCAATGATGAGTAAGTAATGCCATGAAGAAGATGTTCGGTTGTGTTCATTACCATATAGAAACTGCATCAAGTGACACTTCTGGATTTTTCAGGTATCCTGTCAGAAGGACAAATCCTTGTACATACCAAATCTCCAAGCTGCACAAAGAGAATGTAATCTCAATCCCCATGATAAAAGAGAGAGAGAGAGAGAGAGAGAGAGAGAGAGAGTTACACTAGCATGATGGCTGAGGCGACAGTGAGTTTGAGATAGGACCAAAGGCCTTTAAAAGCCTGGGAAGAGAATCCGGTCCAAGTGTCCTTACAAGCAGGATTGAAGATGATGAAGAGCCATGTGATCAGCACGAGCACCCACCAGGAGAAGCTCAAGGTGAGGGCAGCCCCCAGGATTCCGAATCGGAACACGAAGACGGCCAACCAAGAGATGAGGACGTGAAACAGCAGCACCGCGACGGCGATGTAGGCCATGGGGTTCACGATGTTCTGCGCCTGCAGGAACCTCTGCATGGGGCAGTAGAGCGCGAAGGCTACGAGCTGCGGCAGCAGGCCGCGCGCGTACAACTGCCCCACCGCCGCGATCGACTCCGACTGCCCGATCGCCCGGAGGAGCGAGCCCGAGTACCAGTAGAGGAAGGCAAGAATGATGGCTGCGGCGAAGTGGAGAATGAGGGCCCTTTGGCAGATGATGCCCAAGGCTCTGTACTTCTTGGCTCCGTAGGCTTGGCCACACACCGTCTGCACCGCACTCGCCATCCCGAGCTACAGCGGGGATGCATACAGATTGAGTCTTAGTTTGAGATTGTCTGAGTTATTTGCTTTTAATTGTTGATGAATATTTTTGGTTTTGTTTCTCATATAAACCTCAATTTGTGATATCTCTTTTTACTGTTTTATAATTCATAATTTATTCTTTTAATAATAATAATAATAATATCTTCGATCCCTTCATTTTTCCACCACACAACTTTTTGGTTGACTACATATGAAACAAAAACTCTTTCTAAAGAATAACTCTATGAGAATAAAGTGTTATTTTTCTTTTCCAAGGAACAAAAATGAGTGACTCGAGTTCAAAATTTTACAATAAATTATCAAAATATTTAGTTGTAATTTTCCTTTTAACAAAAAATAATGTTTTGAAAATGAATCTCTCAGACTATAGAAAACTATGAAAAGAAGTGAATATTAATTATTTCTACGGTAATCTGTTTCATAGATAAAAGATTGAAATGAAATGAACACACTTATTTCTATAAGTTCTAGTGCGATAATTTTCATGGATGAAGAAGATTGAAACGAAATGAACCATCCTCTTCTTCTTCCTCGTCTTCTTCCATTCCTTATCTCTACTTTAATGGCGTATCGTGTTCCATGAAGAGAAAGAGAGGGAGGGAGAGCTCGGTGCACACGTACCATGATCCCATAAGCGAGACCCTGGATCCCGACGTTGGTGATGGAGGCACCGGCGAGGTCGAGCTTGCCGAGGTGGCCCACGAACATCTGCGTGACGAGGCTGAGCATGAAGTTGAAGAGCTGCACCAAGATGGACGCCCACGAGAGCCGCCACAGGTTCCTCGACTCCCAGGCAGCCAGCCGCGACACCGCCCGCAGCGGCACCGGCTCCGCCCCCAGCACCTCCTCCGCCGCCCTGGACGACTCGTCGACGTCCAGCAGCGCCGCCCCATCCTCCCGCTCCTCCTCCCTCATCCTCTCGCCTCAACGACTTGGGCGAAGACGACCCCCGTATTTAAACGACGTCAACGGCGCATGCGGATTCGTCGCCAACGAAGTTGGGGACAACGCATCAACTAACAGTCCAACGCACTGCTCTGCGTACACCGTATGGTTTCTAATGCCCTTCGGAGAAGAAAGGTAGGTGGCGCCTGAACTCTCGAGACGGGAGTAGGTGCAACTTAGTTTCAGAGGATACAGTTTTGTCGGATGCAGATTCACTCTGTACATCCATCAATAGGGATCTTAATCTTCAGGGAAGTGAAGCTCAAGTACAGTACTGCACTGACATCCAAGATTCACATAAAAACCTCTTATTTGATAAGCAATTTTTATTTAAATTTTTTTTTATAATTAAAATTTAATTTTATATAAATATTATATGTATTTCTAAATTTTGATGGATGAAAGTGAGATGTGAGTAATAAATAATCTTAGTGTTTGTAAGGTATCCGTGCTAATTAAGGTTTATGTGAGACGATGTACAAGAAAATTTACGTCTTAAGTTTAACATAAAAATATATATATATATTTTTTCATACATATAAATAAAGAGTTACCGAACGATGTTAAATCTTATATTGATTTTTAAAAGTTTCTTTTAATTCTTGAAATTTCTCTTCTTCCTCGTCCTAAACATTTTGTACACCTAATTACTTGAATTATCATTAAATCATACTTATTTGCTCGACTAGTATTTTTTAACTGTTTGGGAAAATAAAAATAAATTTATTTATATATAAAAAATCTTGGGTCCCAATCAGATTGATTATTTGGCTATTTGGCATACCAAACCTGATTTTTGGAGATCCTTTAGACCTAATTATCTAAGAAGTCACATCTGGTTTCTATTTCTAGTTGACTCACTGGTGCATATCAACTATCACTTCATAACATCAAGATAATGATCAATTTATCAAATATTATTACTACAATTTTTTTCTTTCACGTTCATAGTTTCATAGAATTAATGCCTTTTGTTGATACAATTAAAAGTATCTAAAAAACAAAACTATAATGCTACTTTAATGTGTTATGTTCATCAGACATTGTTATACTAAAGGCACAAAAAATATCACCCAATCAAACTATATATATATATATATAGAGAGAGAGAGAGAGAGAGAGTAGAAGGTATAATGATTGAAGGAATTAATCCTTTTAATCCGAGGAGGGATCCCCTTTCTATACTTTCTCGATTCAGATGAGCAATAAGCAATAGAATCACGGAGTGAGCTTTGGGATCACGACGATATTACTTACGTTTGACCTGAATAATTGACAAAAAAAAACATATGTATTTCGTGTGAGATTGTCCCTTTAGAAATGTCATATCGTCTCTATCATAAAGGACACGAGTTACTAGTGTGGAGAGACCCAGAAGATGTGGTGTGTGTGGTCCATGACTCTTATCGTCTCGACAGGGATGTTGAAAACATCCGATGGAGGAAAATAATAGATTTTTTTTTTTTTTTGGGAGTAGCCTGTGGAATCGGTAAACAACAATTTAGTATTGTTTGTGAACCTTTATATTGTGATCGAAGAGTCAGCATGACTTGGTCCCGTCCTTGATGCGTGGGCGACGCCTACGTAGACATTCGGGTGGAGAGGGCGAGCGTTGGATCGAGTCGAGCCTTATCTCTCGAGCGTAATCTTTTCACTTAGCGAGTGGTCTACTTCTCTATCGCTAGGCTCCTATACATAGATCGAGGTCGAGAGGGAGATTTCTCAACTTGACCTCTCCAAAGCTTAAGTTAGTTTTTAGTGGAATGAGAGAGAGAGAGAAAGAGAGTTAAGTGTGCTCAAAAAAGGTCCCCTAGCGCTGGCCATGTATTGGGCTTTTATACCTGCGTATGGGGGTCAGTCGTACCTGGCTCGTAAATGGCCATTGATCCTTTAGGTGACCGACCCATCTCTTTCGTGCGGACGTCAATCGATTTGTACGAGACAGTGCTATCCCGAGTTTCCAGGGTGGATTCATACCCAACGATATCGTCCCAGGTTTTCAGGGGCCGGGTGCATTCCAGACAATGTCGTCCCGAGTTTCTAGGGTAGCTTCATACCCAACAGCATACACTGTACGATCCTGTACCGTGTGGGAGGATGGCTGAAGGCATTATGTCGACGTGGTCTGCCACATCAGTTTTCACGCTCCATGTTGGTGCTGTTATGACTGTGGACGTCTGCTGAGGTATATGTTACCAAAATATGTCATATCAAGTATCATATTAAAATATTATTTTAATAAAAATATTTTATTTCTTATGAAGCATTTTTTAATTATTCTTTTGCTCATGTATGGCGTGAGGGCAATCGTCCGACCAATTGACTTATCAATTTTAATAAGAATTTGAATTTTGAATATAACTGGCATGAGTTTTTACCTCTGATCTAGATTTGTTGGTTCGTAATGATGCAAACGAAAAAGGTTGTACCAACGAAAAAACATGCCTTGTCGAGTGATGTTCTTTCTTGACAATACTTAATTTGTATATATATATATATATATATATATATATATATATTTACGAAGGGATGAAGTTTTACATCACCTGTAGCTGATGCCGGTCCTGCCGTGCCGAATACGGATTGTTGAACACTCAAAACGTCATGCGTTTAGTAGCAAAAGATGCTTCAAGAAAACTCCAATCGGTTCCCAAGAGGAATATTGAATTAAGTTAGAACAATTTGCGTACAAATTGATTGCATTATTAAGGATAAGTAAATTATAGAAACTATAAATTTCAATGTATTACAATTATTTACAATCTAGAGAACATTCATTACGTATTTGACGTTGTTGTTTCGTGGACTGTATATTTAATTAAAAATATTTTGTGATCTATAATTTATCTTTTCTGTTGTAACCTTTGATATCCATATAGCAACTCAAAAAGCATGCCCATACATTAACTTGATTATAATTTATACAATTTATATATCGATGATATTGATTATTCAGAGGGGCGAAATGAATGAAAAGTAATTTATTTATGTGATTTTAAAAAAAAATTAATCTTGAGAATTTTTCGTACAATATTCTTAACTTTAAAATATTTTGAGTTGACATCCTTTTTTCAAAATGATTATCTTATCTTTATCGATCATCACTCTTCTTTCGTTAGTTGTTTCATCGATGTTTCTCCCGTAATCTCGTGTGCTTCTATAAGTGGGTTGATCCATTGATTGTTCTCTCCCTTAGTCACTTTTGCCTTCGTCCATAGGGTGATCTCGTTTGCCCTCTCAGTCGCCTATATTTTTTGCATCGACACAATGCTTGTGGTGTTCAACAAAGACGATTAAGACTAGCGAGGCACTCATACATATGCTTGTGATGCTTTCTGAGTCAAGGGTGCAAGGAAAATGAGATAACGGTGTGTTCCTCAAAAACATAGGTAAAATGATTTTTTCATATGATTAAGGGTAAAATAAAATTTTCAAACTTCAGGTTTTTATTTTCTTCAAGATTTCATTCATTCATTTCTATGAAAAGGAATATAGTATATAATACAATACTAAATACAGTATCCTACTATGCACGGATTAACTCAAAGCCATACAGTGTTTGCATTAATTATCTTGCATTTAATAGTTTGGAAAGGTTTGATTATTAGGACGGGCAATACGTCCGAACCATTCACTATTTTTCCTTTTAACGAAATATCTATTGATTATTCATGAGTGGTATCATAAGTAAACTAAAAATTATGAGTGGAAATTAGTGCTATCCACTTATGCAAAATCATGGAGGTCAAATCTATTATGGAATATCATTTGGCTACTTGTATTATTGTACTCGAATAAGCTTAGAATTGTATCAGTACTTCTTAGAGTAATTTAACTTATTTTTAATAAAAAAATCATGCATCCAATAGAAAAATATATTCTATTATAAACTAAATTATTTTAAAATTTTCTTAATTATACAATAATCGTATTTTTAATAATATATAAACTCCAAAAGAGACAATATAAATTTAAAAAATAATTAATAATCTTAATTGAGTTAAAATCCTCGATAAAATGATGTAATGATAGCAAGCCAATCGAAATTAGCACATCCATTACATGATAAAAAAAATTAGGATATTAAGCTTATTTTTTTCTTATATAATACATACATACATAAATATAAATA